TCCGAATGTAAAACACATCACACTTCTTTTCGATAGATTATTTCTAGAAAGAAATTCTTTAGATAAAACTACACTTATCGCTAGAAATAGAAACTACTTATTCTTTTTAAAAGTTAATGACACTCGCCGATAAGACAATGGTGATTCCGGCCAATATAAATATAATTTAATCGATAAATCGTAAAATTGGAATGCAATGCACCGATAAATAGAAGAAAAGAATGATACAATTAAAACAAAATAGCAAAGCATCAATGCAAACATCGCAGCCATCATGATGGCAAGATTCTAGCTAGCAATCCAGCAGAAAAACAGACAAACGTATATTAAACGCAGATTTAAATCATGCTTTAAAAACCTTGGCTGTGTTTAATGGATTTCAACAGTTGTTGCTGCAAGTGAGCGCTCGTTATTATTGATGTATTCTTTCAGATCATCCAATCAGGATTTAAGAGGTATTTAGTCCGCTGAATGCTCATGATAAAGGAGTATATAAAGAGTACGGAGCAAAATAAAGACGCGCAAAGATATTCTTGTGATAATATCACACATTTATCCAACAAGTAATCTCTCTAATCTCATCCCTCTTTATAACTTTTATCATTTCGATTCAGTGACCTGATTCATCACTCTTTAAAAGCTCCTAACGAATGCTGTGTTCCAAAATACTATATATGTACCAAAAAACTGCTAGTGCTGAAAATGTATAATATACGTAACATAAACTATAGATTTTCAGTGCTGATAATGAATTTTGGAATACAGCCTAATATAATATCACTTATATTAGGAATACATTTTATATTAGGAATATCATTTTCGCGCGGCGCGGTTCGAGAATCATCAATTGATCAACGCTGAGTCAGTTACTCATTGCTAACCAATTGGCGAAATTGCGAATCGCGAATTGCGATTTACGACGGAGGCGGCGGTATAGCGCCTAGCGGTAAGCGTTGGCGGTAGCAACTGGTAGCGACGACCGTCGGGCGTCGACGGTGATCGCCGGTCGCGCCGCGACATTTACGTTTTAGTAACCGTCAACGATCGTGAAGGAAGGCTCGATCAAACATAAGTGATCGGTGATTCGTGTGTCAGCTCTCTTTTTCGCTTGCTACTATCCATCGCTCTTTCTCTCCTTTCTCTCGATCTTGGCTCGTTCGAATTGTTAACGGTGCGTTTGCGAATCGCGCCGAAACTCGAATGTCAATTCGATAAATTTCGGTGAGTTTCGAATTTCCGTTACGTTATGTAAAAGGCGATTTTTTTCTTTTTTCTCTTTTTTTTCCGAAAAATCGTAAAGGCCATTTTTTTCCGTTTGCCGTATGGTAAACGCATCAAATAACTCGTGATTTTTCCGAGCACGTACGAAAATGTCTCATTACGCGCGTTTGAAAAGGGTGAGGGGCATTTTCATAGGATAATAACAATCGAAATTTGAATCGACATTCCGATTGGATTCCAAAATTATTGAGTAATTCCTTAATTCGATGCACCTCATGACGTAGTCCAACGCTTCGTACGTGCTCGACGCGTCGCGAGGAACCAAACTACTTGTGTGATTTTGTGTGTGTGTGTGTGTGTGTGTGTGTGTGCGCGCGCGCGCGCGTGTACACTTGTGTTACAGCTCGCCCTTCGTATTAATTTAATTTCACATTGTCCGTTTGTTGCTCTCGCGATCATATATCTCGAAGGTGAGAGGTGAGTGTCCGGAGGAGGACATGGCGAACTTGAAGGTGCGTGTCGATTCGCCAAAGGTGCGCTACTCGGAGGATTTCATCGAGGCCGAGTACGAGTATCGGACGATTAGTGTGACCGAGGAGAACGAGAACGATCGCGATACCTACACGGTGAGAATCTGTTCATCGATCCATTGTGTTTGTCCAGAGTTGTCTCAAGTGTGTCACTAGACTCTGTAATGCTTGCGCCGCCCGGCTGATCGATATCGGATAGTCTGCTTGTCAAAACTCAAGCTATGCTCTTATCTAATTGTAAGAAACAATCGACGAAACTTTCCCCCACCTTCTCGCTCTAACAGTCCTTTTATATGTACATTTACACATGATGTGTGCGCGCGCGCACACAAATTGTACATACATGATACTGACAATCAAATTCCAACGAAAGGACTCTTTTCAATAATAAATTCCGTTTTGTTTCTACAAAATTTTTATGTAAAATTTAATATCACGTATATGAAGATGTACAAAGATCATTTGAAAATTTGTTATAAATAACTACGATCTTCCAAATTTGCTTTCGTGGAAGAGTAAGCTAATAAATATATATTACATCACAAATTGGCATTGAAATCTATACAAATGAAAAGGACGTAAAATCTGTTCTTTTTAGTTAAAGTTCTTGCACGGTTCATCTCTTTCTTCCTTTTCTCTCCACGTTGGAATCAACCATGTAAAAAATTGAACTAAAAGAAATAGGTCTATATACACTCCTGCAGTCCATTTCTACCAATGCAGATGTAAAATAACTTAAATTTCTCGATTTAAAGTTTATCTTTTTCTAATTCTTACAAGTAGAGACGGATGAAAAGTAAGTTGAAATTAATCTACATTGATAAAAGGATGACATCGCGGTTTTTCACGATGGCTTCACGCGCAGTTAATCACGTGTCACACTACTAACACAAAATTCAATTCTTCGATTATTCAGTCAAATTTTTTCAAATTACACTTTGTCTTTTGCATTTGTTTCTCATACATCTTCACTTGATCCTTCTTTTTCTCTTTCTGACGTATGCATTGAATTACTTTAAAGTTTACTTTAAAATTTACATATTACATATTACATATTAACCTTGAAATATATCGGATATATAAACAGCATTATTGAATGAGATTGCTCTAGAAGGTCTCCATCTATAATAATGTCGGAAGCTCGCGCGCGCGTGCGTATATTTAGTACAGCCACATATTATATCTTGTTTACTATTCACACATAAACTATTTGCAGGACTAGATCGTTCAAGACTTTATTGTATTATATGTATACATACAATTTTAGCGCAATTATTGATTGTATAATTTCGAAAAGTTGAAAAAATATTGAAAAATTTTAAAAAATATTGACTTGTTATGCATATATATATATATATATATATGTGTGTATATATATTATATATATATATATATATTGTATGAATTACAATTATACGGTACTGATTTTATTTATACAT